CTGCTTGGGGCTGTGGTGGGCTATGTCCATCAGGTGTCCATGCTGAACACCAGTAGTAGGATTGTCCCCATGAATAGCCACTGCAGCCCAGCCTGGGTGACATAGTGAGACTCCATCTCTTTAAGAATTAAGTTCCCAAGTAGCTGAGACTACAGGCACATATCGCCAATGAGCTAACACGAGTTTTTCTAATCTCCTAGATTGATTTTGAACAAAATTAGACACCTGAATGCTGTAAAATGAAATGAGCAATGGGGAGGGATTGTTCATTCATCTTGAAGGTTGTGTCTACAAGTTGCTTTAGGATACTTTTCCCTTTGACCTCACCCCCAAATGCCTCCCTGCACACCATCCAGCTAAAATTCTTACCTTTAGCCAAATTGTTCTTTTAATTACTTAATATGTTCTCTTCCTCTTTGGTTATCTTGATAGTCAAAGGCCTCTCCATTCTCTAAAGTCTAGAAAGACCTGGAACAAATGTATCTAAAGTTCACACTACCCTTTTGTTACTCAGCCAACCTAGTATGGTTACATCTTTTAACCTCCACCTTTCTTCCCAACAGATTACTAGAGAGGCTGAGAATATCAAAGTATGTGTGCACGCATGCGTGCGTGTGTGCATGCATGCATGCATGTGTATTTCAGTATATATATATATATATTTTTTTTTTCTCTATATTTTTTTCCTTGTACCTCCTCACCTTGCCTGGGATGCCTCATCTGTCTCAGGCACTGTTCTGGACTTCACTCCCCATTGCTAATAAGAATAGTGCCTTCACACCTGCATCCTGATTCTCTGCTCTTAGAGACATACTTTGTAGGTGGGACATAAAATAAAAACTCAAAAAATTTTAGGTAGTGAAAATTATACTTGAAAATCCTTCAGTTCAATTGAATGACGCAAGCATAGTTTACTTAGCAACACTTTAAACTTTTAGAATTTTGGATTTGCACTTAATATAATTCTTCTCATGATGAAGATGTTATTCAATATAAAGGCTTTTTAAAAACATTAAATGTCTTTATTTCATTGTCAATATAACACGATTTTTGTGCTTTTTAAATTGTACTTTGTTTTTATTTTATGTGTATGAATGTTTTGCATGCATGTATGTAAGTGTACCCATGTAGTGCAATTGCCTGCGGAGGCTAGAAGAGGGTGTTAGATCCTCTGGAACTGGAGTTATGGATGGCTGTTAGCTGCCTTGTGGGTGCTGAGTACTGAACCCAGGTCCTCTGCAAGAGCAGCCAGTGCTCCTAACTGCTGAGCCATCTCTCCAGGTCTTTGTGTGTGTTTTACATTAAATCTTTTTTCCATTTCAGTATTAGATACTTCTTTTCCTTAAACTTGCTCTTCCTCAGACATGAAAGACTCAATTGTTAGCTGTTTGACATCTAAGCACAATATTAATGTAGGTGATAAGACAAAAATCTAATAAACGCATGGAGAAAGATGACCCCTCAAGGATTCAGAACCAGTGCTTACATCCGAACAAGTGTGGCTTGCTAGATTCTGAACAAAGACTGTGTTCTTCCTATTTCATGTGCTTTGGATTCTCATAGGGGCTACAAAATTTAATATTTGCAAATTTCTATAAAACAGCACCTAGACCTAAGTAAGTACTATGGAAAAGATTTTTAATTGTTGCTTTAAAATTATGTTCATTCACCCAAAGTTGGTGTTTCCATCCAATGTGACCAATGAAGAGAGAGATTACTTTTCACCAAGGCACATGAATGGACACTTCTTCTCAAATGAAGAATTTCTGTTCCTTTTAACCCATATCAATAGTTCTCCACCTCACTGATGGAATGTAAGTTATGGTAAGTTACGGATTTTGTCCCAGCTGTAGTGAACTATGCTTTTAATTAAAACTAAATTATTGGTGTGTATGTGTGTGTGTGTGTGTGTGTGTGGTGCATGTGTGTGCACGTGTGTGCCATGATGCATGTGTGGCAGTCAGAGGACAAATTTCTTTCCTTCTATCTTTACATGTGTTCTCAGATTTCCAGGTGTTTGTGGCAAGTGCTTTTACTTACTGAGCCATTTCCCTGACCCCAAGTACTGACATTTCTATATGAATGCCTATAAGGTTAAATTCTCAAGTTTGCTGACCAGTGACTGAGAAAAGGCAAAGTGTTAGAAAATGTATTGGTAGGGCTGGGAAGATGGCTTGGTTAGTGAAGTGCTGCTGTGCAAGCATGAAGACCTGAATTCGATCCCTGGTATCCACATAAAAATCTGATTGTGGTGGTGCCTTCCTGTAATCATAGAGGTAGGGAGATGGAGACAGGAGGATCTTTGGGCCTTACTAGCCAGCTAATTTTGCCAAATCAGTGAGTTCCAGATTTAGTGATACCCTGTATCAAAAAATAAGGTGAAGGGAGATTGAAGAAGACAGCTGCCTTTTACACGCACATGCACATATGTGCATCCCCACATACACACACAAGAATATGTACACACACATGCCTCTTTCTCTCTCTCTCTTTCACACACACATACACAAAAGAAGAAAAAGAAAATGAGCTTCTAATGAAAGCTGTAACCTTTTCAAGGTCAAAAGGGCTGTGATTTGTGAGTCTTGGTAACTGTGGAATGGTGCTGGAAATCCTGCACTGCTCAGTGATCTCTAGTCCATAGACTTATTATGCTGAGATATGTAAGACAAAGCAAGGCCTGAATGCTGCCAAACCACACTTGGAGAAAGCCCACAAATAATAAAATTCTCCACAGCTCCTGGTCCTCTCCATCTTCATTGACGAAATCTCTAACTAAAAAACACGAACTCCATTCCAGTTCCCCTTATCCTATAATGAAGGGCAGTAAAAACCAGGACGGAGCCTGAAGGAGAGGTCTGGATCATTTAACTTAGAGGTTATGGTGACTTCTCAGTGCTGTTTTCCCTGAAATTGCAACAGAGTGACTTTGATGGCGTTAGTCAACACCAGGGGGCAGGAGAGAGAGCAGAGTCGATAGACCATGTACAACTTAACTCCAGAAGGTGGGTGGGAGGAATCCGTTTAAGCTCACAAAAACTTCCCTTACGGTTCTTGGCACCCAGCATGGGGGGGGGGGGTTGAATCTGAAAGCCTGAAAATTTTTTTCAAATGTGTTTCTTAATTACAAGAGTGTTCTGTGTTCTTGTTTAAAAAAATTAAAAGCTACAGAGAAGCAAAAAGAAAACATTTAAGCATGTACACAGATACTATCCCTAGATAAACACTAACATGTTGGTAGAGCATATTCTATTTCTTATTCACGCACGTCTTTCCCTCCCAAATGGGATCAAATTAAATTATTATTTTATGCTCTTTCAAAGCTTTAACTGGTAATAGTCACTCTTTAACTCAATATGTGATTATGGATAGAGGAAACGCCTACCCATGGCTCTGTCTAACTTTGGTTCTGGTCTACCCAACCCCCTGGCAGGCAGCTCACATTTGTTGGGATTTAGATTTCTTAACTTTGAAATAGAGTTTGATGCCAAGGATACACAAGGTATCTTCACCTCTCTCATTCTAATGAGTAATTTAAGGAAGTCAGTATGGGGCAGGTGGTGGTTATTAACCTAGCAACAGGCAGCAGGTTCAAATCCCAGCTCTACTTTTGAGGTCCTGGACAGGTTTCTTGATCTCTAAGTGGTTTCCCTTTCTGTAAGATGGGACCAGTGACCTGGCATGCTGTGAGAATTAAATAGGTAACACAACAAAATATTTAGAAGTGTTTGGCACATGGCAAGGCTCAGTAAACAATGACTTTATCCCTACTTTGCTCAGGTACCAACTTTCCTGGGGTGAGGGAGTAAAAACGAATACTGATGAATCAAATATTCACGCTGGCCATGGTGCTAATTTGCACAATCTTGTTTATTCCTCAAAACAAATTTACTATCTCCATCACACCAAGAAACTGAGGTTAGAACGTGCCCAGATTTGGGTATGTAGTAAGTGTCAAACTGAAAGGTTACCCTTTAGCTACTTCTGGCAGACTTGAGAGCAGCAACAAGACAGGTCATTACTCAGTTCATTTCAAAATTAAAGCCCAGGCACGAAGTATCATCTTTGGTGATATTCAATAAGACCTTTTTTGTTCTTCATTTTAACAACGCTTCTGTTTAACAGTTATTTAAAGGACACAGGAAGTTTTGTACATTCCAACTGACTGCTGAATAACCAGGCAGAGCAGAATTATGTTTTACAAACATAATTTATACTTCACTTACAAATTCAATTTTATATGTAACTGTACAACTGAGTTTTTGATTTTTTTTTTAAACCTCACTGTCAGAACCCAGTCAAGGAGTTGGGGTCCACTATTAGCCCTAATCGAAGTGAATGAGGATGGTAATTTGATTTCATGCTATAGCTCTCTCTTTCAAGGAAAAAAATTGAAGAGATCAGCATACTAAGGGCCTGCTTAGATTGGTTGTCCAGGCTGGGCTTGAATTCTCTATCCTCCTGAGGTCCTGGAGGGAAGGGCTGTATGGCACCACCTCGTTTTATGGGCTTGCATATTTTCCTACTTAAGTTGTTAGAGAAGGTCACTCCTGACAGTCACTGCCTTTGAGTGGTTGCATGATCGATCTGTGGATTCACAGTTAAAAAAAAAAAGTCAGTCATCTTCTGCTTGAGCACGCAAAACAATAAGCAAAATAAGCACTTTAAATATCATATACACTGGGTAGAGCCACTACTTTCTGTGCTCAGATTCAACTAGGCACAAACCACAGTAACACACCCCCCGGCTGGGATGAGCGGGCGCGGCCGGGAGAGGCTGGGAGAGGCCCTGCTAGCTCTCTGCCAGTGCGCTACGTGTCCGGCCGGTTCCAGGCACTCGGCTCGGTGCCTGGGGCCGCGGAGTCCCCGGGCCCCAGCTCCAGCACGCTCTGGGCACATCCAGCCCCGCGGCGATCACGTTCGGCTGACAGGAGAGCTGGTTGGCCGCGCCCTCGTGCCTGCGGCCCGCTGATTGGCCCAAAAGATAAGTTCACGTGGTTGGGCGCTGATAAGCGGCCGCTGGGCTCTGCTCCCCAGTCGGCTAGCGCGACCGCTGCATCCGCCTGGTGTTGGGCTGCCGACTGGGCCAACTCGGGTGCGGCTGTCTTGTCGCCGCTGTCTCTCGGCCGGATGAGTTGCACCAGGTAGGTTAAGTGCAAATCTGCGCCCAAGCCGAGGGGAACATGCAGCCGTGGGGACGCAGGGGGGCCTTTGTGGCTTCTCTGCAGATGGAGACCCCAGGAGAGGGCAAGTTGATGGCTGCCTCTAGCGCCCCGCGGGTCTTCAAGGGGTGGAATTTGTGCAGTTTCTTAGAGCCTATTCTGCCTTGTGTGAGTTCCCTCTTGTTGCGACTGTTATCTTTGGGCTCAAAAGTCCCAAGAACTCTGGTAACCTGAGACGGCACTCTGACATTGCGGGTTTGGGTATTTAGGCTGGGGGGCAAAAGTTACCGGGCAATTTTGCATTCATGCGTTCTCGCCTAATTGCCTTACCCCGGTTTGCCATAGAAAACGGTCTCAGTTTGAGCAAACTGTTATTTTTAGTTATTGGCTGGGACTTAAAATTCCACATACTAAACTTTCTATAAATGAAGAAGCGCAAAACCAAGCAAATAACTAAGCCAGCCAAGCAACCAAAAACATCCTCATGCAATTTAATTGCTTCTCCAGAAGTGACTTAGCTGAAGAATTCTCCCTTCCTCAGATCCTGCCTCTTAACTGTTGCTATACAAATACAGTGTTAGCTTTTGTTTGCTGTAAGTTTGTGTCTCCTAGAAAAACTTAAGTGCTAATAACGTTTGTGAATATTCTTTAGGATCCACTGTGTGGAAATGATCACTGACCTACGTGCTTTAGTGCTGCTCTGAAGAGAATTATTAAAGCCAGATGACATGATCAAAATACATGGTTTTCATGTGTGAAACTTTCTCAAAGAATAAATAATTAAAAAAAAAATAAAAACCAAGCCGGGCACTTGGGAGGCAGAGGCAGGCGGATCTCTGTGAGTTCAAGGCCGGCCTGATCTATGTAGTGAATTCCAGGACAGCTGGGACTACAGGGAGACCCTGTCTCAAAAAAAAAAAAAAAAGACAAACAAACAAACAAACAAACAAAAAACCAGACTGAAACATGTCATGAACTCCATTCCCACATGTCTCTTATAAGGCTGAAATTTGGGAGGAAAATCCTAATTCTTTAAACTTTTCAATTATAGTGAGGGATAAAGAAATATCTTGATGGATGATTCTTGGTTTAATATTAAATATCTTTATTGTCTTCCTACTTATAAATGCCCATTGCCAAAACAGTAGAGAGGACCAAAGAACAAGGGAGTAGATTAATTCTGTCACGCAGTGATAATTGTTAACTTTTTAGGGTTTTCCCTGTAAAGTTTTCCAGCATTTATAAGTGCATACATCTAATATATTTTTCTAAAGCAGTTCAATTTTCATGTAATCAGTTTTTTTTTTGTTGTTTGTTTTTTGAGGCAGGGTCTCCCTGTAGCTACAGCTGGCCTGGAACTCACTATGTAGACCAGGCTGGCCTTGAGCTCACTAGATCCGCCTGCCTCTGCCTCCCTGTTCTGGGATTAAAGGGGTGCACTACCACGCCTGGCCATGTAATCAGTTTTTTAAAAAAATACATTTTATTTTGTGTATATAAGGTATATAACAGTTTGCAAGATACATATACAGTGAAATGGTTGTTATAGTGGAACAATGAACATGTCCATTAGCTCACACAGGCAGCCGGGTTTTCCATTTTTATGTGACTTGTCACAGGCATCTGAGATAAATGTTATTTAAAGTTTTTCCTTAAGTACATAAGCTATCAGCTTGCATTTCAGTTGTTTATGAAAACTGAGGAAAACTTTGATAGTCAAAAGAATTCTGACTTCCACTTCTCTTAAACTGCATGAGATTTTGTTAATTGCTACTTTTGTTTCTTTTTAAGTGGATTACTTTTCTAGAGAATTCTAGAGAAGCATAACCAGTTTAAGAGCAAAAATAAGAAATAACAACCAGAGAAGCAGAGGTTGTGGATCTATGTTTCTGGAGGAACTGGGGAAGCTTTAAGAATATATTTACCCTCTTGACCCCATGCCTACAAAGCTCTGCTGAAGTGGTTCTAAGTCCCAGAGATGTGATTTTTTTTTTTTTTTTTGTCTTTTTGAGACAGGGTCTTCCTGTAGCCCCAGCTGGCCTTTAATTCACTATGTAGACCAGGCTGGACTCTGCCTCCCAAGTGCTGGAATTAAAGGTGTGTGCCACCACACCCCGCTGAGATCTGATTTTTTTTTTAAACAGAAAGAGATTCCCTAGGTTGCAGTGACCAGGAGAGGTTTAAGAACCATTAGTCTTGAACAGAGAGAACCATTCTTAGAGCTGTGTTAGGCACCATCAGATCCAACGCTTTTATTTCTCAAATGGGGAAACTGAACCCCATTCTGAGATTTTCAGGCAGGTTACACGTAGCTCAGTAGTTAGTCAAGGACATAGAGAATGCAGATCAATCACCTGACAGTTGTCTTTTTTCCCCCTGACAGCACCTTCTCAATACAGCATTAGCTGTAACTTAGCCAGAACAAAAATCCTGTGTTCTCATTTGGGATCAGGGGACAGACAGCAGTTTCAGATCTAGGTGATAACCCCTCCCTTCCTTTTGCATTCCAGAATGATCCAGGTGTTGGATCCACGTCCTTTGACAAGTTCAGTCATGCCAGTAGATGTGGCCATGAGGCTTTGCTTAGCTCACTCACCACCTCTGAAGAGTTTCCTGGGTCCCTACAATGACTTCCAGCGAAGAAATTTTGTGAATAAACTGAAGCCTCTGAAATCATGTCTCAATCTCAAGCAGCAAGCCAAGTCACAGAATGAATGGAAGCACTCGCACGACCAAGCCAAGAAGAGGGTGGTGTTTGCTGACTCCAAGGGCCTCTCACTCACTGCTATCCATGTCTTCTCTGACCTCCCTGAGGAACCTGCGTGGGATCTCCAGTTTGATCTCTTGGACCTTGATGATATCTCCTCTGGCTTAAAACTTCACGAGGAGAAAAATTTGGTTTTAGATTTCCCTCAGCCTTCTACTGATTACTTAAGTTTCCGGAACCGCTTTCAGAAGAACTTTGTATGCTTGGAGCACTGCTCTTTGCAAGAGCGAACAGTGAGTGGGACAATCAAAGTGAAAAATGTGAGCTTTGAGAAGAGGGTTCAGGTCCGTGTCACCTTCGACACCTGGAAAACCTTCACGGATGTGGACTGTGTCTACATGAAGAATGTTTATGGCAGCTCAGACAGTGACACTTTCTCCTTTGCCATCGACTTACCTCCTGTTATTCCAACTGAGGAGAAAATTGAGTTCTGTGTTTCTTACCATGCTAATGGGCAGGTCTTCTGGGACAACAACGAGGGTCAGAATTACAGAATTGTCCATGTGCAATGGAAACCTGATGGGGTGCAGACACAGATGGCACCCCAAGACCGTGCATTCCAACAGGTGCCCCCTAAGACCGAGTTAGAATCGACAGTCTTTGGAAGTCCAAGGCTGGCTAGTGGGCTCTTCCCAGAGTGGCAGAGCTGGGGGAGAATGGAGAACTTGGCCTCCTATCGATGAATTAGGCAATCTACTGACTGGTCTTGTTCTCTCCTAATCCTCATGGGATTTTAGGTCTATATTGCTCAACATTAGGAAGTCTTTGTTACCTTCCATCAGTAGGTTTAGGTGTGAGCTGTTGGGGCCTGGCTATAGAAAATATAGCCACTTGAGAATTTAGTGTTGGGGTTGATATGGGTGATGCTACCCAGTCTTGTTTTGGAGGAACAAATAACAGTCTGGGAACTATTTTTCATAAAGGTAATCCATTCTTAGTTCCCTTCTTCCTTCCCTCTCAGTTCACTAGCTTTTACCCAGGATAAGGAAAAGTTGAAGGGCAATTGATGGTGAAAGAAAGCTGTGGTAAAGGTGTGAGGAATGTGTGAAAGGTATACACTGAGGGTTCTGAAGCTCGAGTCAGAGGAGCAGGAGGTCTGATACTTAACCATTGGTGGGAAAGCGTAGGTTATTTTGTGCTTCAAAGTTGATTGCACAATTTTCTCCTGAGGAAATAAAGAGGGGAAAGAGATCTATTCTATGTATTCTGGCATAGAAAAATAAACTTAAAGGGTGTTGGATGATATTCGGGGAAGATGAACTATAGTTCTGAAGAATCAAGATCTTGAGGGCTAGCTTGGTTGGTAGGGTGTACTTGCCTAGCAGGCTTGAAGCCCTGAATTCAATGCCCAGCACTGTAAAACTGGGCATAGTAGCATATGCCAGGAATCCCAGTACTTGGGAGGTAGAGGCAGGAGGATCAGAATTTCAAGGTCATCCTTGGGTACATAAGAAAAGATTGAGGCCAGCTTGGGCTACATGAAACTGTCTCAAACTAACAACAATGACAACATAAACTAACAACAATGACAACATAAAGATCTTAAGTGAATCTTTTGCATTTAAATAATGTTCTATCAAAAATCCTGCTTTGGGGGAATGTATAAGCAAATCTAGCTTTGCAGTCTTAATACATAAGTGATGTTGTAATCAAGACATCATTCTTGGGTTCTTGGTATAGAATGCTGCCTGACATCAGTCATGCTGTCACCAATGACTAACAACATGTAGGGACTCCATGTCATGTCAAAGATAGCTCTTTTTCAGTGCCTTGATTAAACCAGAACACTGTATCTGTTTAACCCAGTTATCTAATAACTCATGAGTTTCTGGCCTTATATGAAGGTCGACTTGCTGGCATTCCTCCCAAAATACTGTTGTCTTTGGGAGCGTTGTCAGTGTTTGCAACTCACATCCTTCATATTGAAGGTGACTCATCTTTCTGCCACACTTTTTCAATGTGATGTTTGAAGTGGTGACTGACAACTAGAGTCTCAATGCAAGAATCCAATACCTTGCACATAAAAATAGCAATGTATCTTGTGCCTACTTTTGTCTTACTCTTTTAATTTCAAGTCAAATACTTTGTTTTTTCTTTAAAAAATGGATATGAATTATTTTGGATGTGAATTGTTTTGTGTGGCATAAATCCATCCTGTGACATTTTGAGAATGGAAGTCCTGGAATCTTTGCTGTTGTCATCGTGCATGTCCTTTGAGAGGTGTTAAGAAAATGCAGTGAATTTGAACATGTGTGATCTGCCATGCTGGAAAAGCATCATTGGAGTAACTCTGCTATGACAGTATTTGAGGTTTGCCTATCATCCATAAGTTCTCTGCTGTAAATATTTCACTGTCTTTAGCTATCCCTTATAAGCTTCTCACTTTAAAGAATAAATGTGCTTGATAAAAGACCTGAGAATGTTTTCTTTCTCAAAGCTGCAGTCAAAAAAGAAACCCATCAATTGAAGTTCTCCTGCTTTGTTGAACAGCAACCAAGCAAAGCAAGTTAGGATCGGGAAGTGGATCCAATTGACTGTTCACATGCTCTAGCCTTATTAGTGACCACATGTCCTTCCACCTGATAACTGGGGCCCAGGTCCAGAGGCAGTGAGTTGAACTGCTATAACTGTCCCTATCTGTGGTAGACATTAGAGTCTCAGTGCATCACTAGATGAGACTAGAGACTAGAGTCTCATCACACATGCTACCTGCTGGGTCAGGGTTATCTTAGGGGCTACTGTCAGCTTTGAAATGGGGGAGGAGATGATGTGTGAAGAGCTGGAGTGGCTTGTGTTTTTGAGCTCTAGCATCTTCCTGAGCTTGGAGCTGTAGACAGGAGCCCAGGAAGGGGCCATGGGCATTAGTCTCAGACTGGAGAAGAGGCACAGCTTTTTGGGGTAAGTCAGCAGGTCTGTGAACCTGAGTTGCTTTTCCAGTTTTTCTTAAAATTTCCATAAAAGGAAAACTATCTTAAGTTGAGGAGGTAACCAATGACTAACCTACTGGAGATGCCCAGTTATAAAGAATGAACCTTTATGTCATAGTATCCTCTGCATCAGGGGCTATAAATTATAAATATGACTACAGATCTATTTTATTTGGTACACAGATTTTTGTTTTGTTATTTTTGAAACAGGGTCTAACTGTATAGCCCTGGAGGGTCTGGAACTCACTGTGTAGACTAGGTTGGATTCTAACTTGAAGTGATCCTCCTGTCTCTACCTCCTGAGTACTGGAATTATAAGTGTGTGCCTATGCACTTGTATTGACATAGAACTTCTTAAAAAAAATCCAAAACAACAAAAAACCTGTCAAGATATAGCAATAAACAGACTACATAGCAGACTATATAGCAATAAGCAGACCTTTTTTTCCTTTAAAAATCGCAAGCTCTTTCCTCATGGCAAAAACTATGTGGCATTGAATAGCATCCACCCCCTTTAGCTGGGGTGTGCTGTCCTTAATAGAGTGTTGGCTTAAGTCTCTACCCATGGCTGTGTTCCCGTATACTACTGACTGGTCTCTAAAGGCAGTGGAATTCGTGGCCCCTATTTTGTTCCTTTTGGGTCTATTCATGGTAATGATTGTATGAAGAATACCCTCTTCCCAAGAGATGGAAAAAACTCAAATTGAGGTTTGAAAACCATGAGACTCAAATGTCAACTTTATAAAAGAAGAAACTAAGAGGAGAAAATGACTAGTTCAGCCTGTGTCAGGTTGCTTAGTGGCTTTTGGCCTATTATTCCTTTCTGCTTTTGATACTTTTTGAAGTCTTCCACGAGACCCTCCTTCTTAGTAGCTCTGTGTCAGAAAGGAGAGCTGTTAACTCTGGCCAACTCCTGTTAGCAGCCCGTGTTAGCTTGACTCAGTGTTGGCATGTCCCTGGGCTGCTTCTGAGGAAAGATCTGGTCAAAGAGTAGGATGCTCCTGGGCCTTTACTAAGGAATAGAATTATCCCCATTTCATATCTGATAGCTACCTGTTAGGAGAAGCAATGTTGCTTTTAATATTTAACATGAGGGTCCAAAGAGATGGCTTAGCAATTAAGAGCTTTTCCTGCTCTTCCAGAGGACATGAGTTTAGTTTCCAGCATCCACATCAGGCAGCTCAGGACCTCCTGTAACTCCAACTACAGGGGATCTGAGCGCCATTGGTACCTTCACAAACTTTCTCTCTCTCTCTCTCTCTCTCTCTCTCTCTCTCTCTCTCTCTCCTCACAAATTAAAAAATGAATCTTTAAAAAATTAACACAAGGGTCAGGCGTGGTGGTGCACACCTTTAGTCCCAGCACTCGGGAGGCAGAGGCAGGTGGATCTCTGTGAGTTCACGGCTAGCCTGGTCTACATAATGAGTTCCAGGACAGCTAGGGCTACAGGGAGACCCTGTCTCAAAAAGACCAAAAAAAAAATTTTTTTTTAACACAAGGAACTGGGGAGATATCTCAGTAGGTAGAGTCCTTGCTACACAAGAATGAGGACCTAAGTTCAGATGTCCAACATCATTGTAGAAATCTGGACATAGCAGCAAGTTCAGTGAGAGACCCTGCCTCAGAAAATATGGTGGAGGGGCTGGTGAGATGGCTCAGTGGGTAAAGGCACTTGACATGCAACCCTGGTGACCTGCATTTGAGACCTAGAGCCCAAGTAAAGGAGGAAAGAAGTGACTACACAAAATTGTCTTCTGACCTCCACATATGTGCTTTAATTCATGTATTATAACACACACACACACACACACACACACACACACACACACACAAGAAATTTTAAAGCTGGGCGTGGTGGCACACCCCTCTAATCCCAGCTCTTGGGGAGGCAGAGGCAGTCAGTTTGTGAGTTTGAGACCAGCCTGGTCTATATAGTGCATTCAGACCAGTTGGGGTTACAGAAAGACCCTGTTTCAAAAAGACAAAAAAAAATTAATAAAAAGGTGGAGTGCAATTGATGCTGTTACTTAAAAAAAATGTGTATGAGTGTATTGCCTGCATGTGTGTAAGTGCACCCATGTTGTGTGATGCCCACGGAGGCCAGAAGACTGTATGGGCCACATATTAACAAGATGAAAGGTGAGGAAGGCATCAGGAGGCTCTGCCTGGCCACTGAAGTATCTAGGGAAGAGTAGCTCTGCCCTTGGTACCTGGGAATAGACCTTATTAACTGAGAATCCCTGTAGGGTATGATAGCCCTGAGCCTGAGGTCAGAGGGTGGTAGATCAACCTGTGGTGCCACCTAGCTGCCATGAGGTTCATTGATGATTTTGAATCCTGTCAACTAGAGCAAACAATAATCCAACCAATCAGAAAAGCAATGAACAAATTTACAGGAATTAGCAAACTTCTCTTAATAATTAAGAAACTTAAATGTAAATATCCCTCACTCACCAATAAAAAGATGCGGAATAGCAGTTTGAATTAAAAGGCAAAATCCATTATATAAAGACCTGGAACTCTAAGATTGTTAGAGAAAAGGTAGGGAAACATTTTAAGACCGAGGCACAGGTAAAGACTTTTTGAACAGAACTCCAGTTGTTAAGGAAATAATGGTAATCACTGACAAGTGAGACCTTGTGAAATTAAGCAAGCTTCTGCACACAAAGGAAACAGTTAATCAAGTGAGGAGAGCCTACAGAATGGGAGAAAGTCTTTACTAGGAAAACATATGATAGAGAATTAATATCTAGAATATACAAAGAACTCAGAAAACTAAACAACTGGACACCAAACAACCCAAATAAATAAATGGGCTAATGATATGAATAAACAGTTCTCAAAAGATGAAAGACAAATGATTAATAAACCTAAGAATTCTTCAACCTCACTAGCCATTAGAGAAGTGAAAATTGAAACTACAATGAAATTGCATCTTACCTCAGTCACAATGTTAATCATTGAGAAAACAACTGGGGGCTGGAGAGATGACTCAGTGGTTAAGTGCATTGTCTGTCCTTGCAGAGGACCTGGGTTTGGTTTCTAGCACCTACATGGTGGCTAACAACCATCCTAAACTCCAGTTCCAGGGGATCTTCTGACCACCATGTGCACTGCATGACATGGGTACACTTATATACATGCAGGCAATATACTTATATATATAAAATAAAAATAATAAGTAAATTTAAAAAATAACAAATGCTGGTGAGGGTGTGGACAAAAGGGAACCCTTAAACCCTGCTGGTGAGAATGTACACTAGTTTAGTCACTATGGAAATCAGTATGGAAGTTTCTCAAGAAGCTAAAAATCCATCCTCCATATGACTCACTTTCTCACTCCTGGGAATTTCCCCAAAGGACTCCAAGTCAACATATTGCACGGATACTTACACATTTATGTTTATTGCAGCACTATGCACAATAGCTAAGTTATGGAACTAACCTAGGTGTCCAAAACCAGAAATCGATAAAGGAAATATTATACACACACACGCACACGCATACACACACACACACACACACACACACACACACACAATGGAGTTTTTTTCAACCATGAAGAACAAAGTTATGTAATTTTCAGGAAAATGGATGCAAATAAGGATAATTTTATTAAGTGAAGTAAGCCAGTCTCAGAAAGATAAATATGTTCTCTTTCTGAACTCCAAGATTTCACATAGATACATAATCATGTATACATATATGATATAAAAGTAGAAACCAAACTATCCAAGGGAACAAACGAGAATAACTGGAAAGGAGGTTAGAGAAGGGAAGGTAGGAATATGGGGGAAACATGCACAATGTCTAATATATACCTGTATGAAATGTTCTTATGTTACAGTACCATGTACAATGAACACGCAAAATTAAAATTTTAAAGAATCAGACAGAAGATCCAGTTATCTGTTGTCTCTAAGAAACAACCTCACTGGCAAAGGCAGCCACAGGCTGAGAGCCAAAGGATGAAAGTCAATTTACCAAGCAAACAGAAAGCCAAAAGAAGCTGGAGTAGCTGTTCTAACGTCTCATAAAGCAGATCTCAAACCAAAATTAGAAGAGATAAAGAAGGCACTGCATACTAATAAAGGGAAACGTTTTTCAAGAATCTATGGTGATTGTACATGTACCTGCACTCAACATTATTAGGGCTCCCAAGTGCATGAAAAAAACACTAATGGTCATAACTAGTCACAAAGGTCCTGATACAATAATACTGGGTAGTTTCAGTATCCCACTTCCGTCTTTAGATAGCTCAGCCAAACTAAAGATCAACAAAGAAGCCAGAGTTAAGTTATATCATAGGTCAATACACTTAACAGATATATAGAGAATATTCTATCCAACAGAAACAGAACATAATCTTTTTAGCCACCCATGAAACTCTTTCTGAAATAGGTCATATTCTAGATCACAAAACAAGTCTTAACAAATACAAAAGAATCAAAATAATTTCCTGTATCTTAACAATCATAGTGGAAT